TCCTCATTATGCAACTTTGATGCAAGAGAATATTTGATCACTTGCTTCCACATGGCCGTGTCGGTGTGACTGGAATAAAGGACCCGCTGGAGAGGGGGCTTCATCACAAGGCTATTTCAGGCTGCATTATGGAGGGCTGTGGTTCGGAACAGCGAGACCCCGGGCTCATTAAACGTGTCCCAGGACCCAATTTGTAATCCTCAGGAGCAATTTCACTTATGATACCGAAGCTGAAGTTTGGCTATTTGAACAGAGAGCACAAGAGGGAACAAGTGAGGAGCTGCAGGCAGATTGTTGCAGGTTTTTTTGTTTTTTCCCACCCTTACTGGCTTTGATAGTGTCTCACAAAGGTCTAAGTATTGTTCCAAAAGCTTTCCTGCCTTTGTATTGAATGAGCTATTGGTCTTTCGTTATTTAAATGCAGATAATGTCCTTTTGTTATGGTTCACTCTGAAACCAATTGATTTATTTTCTCAGTCTGTACAAAAGATGGTTTTCAGCTGATAGCCTTGACTGTAAAAGTTAATATGCAAGAACATTGAGACTAACCTTCATGCTTCTTTCTTTTTTAAGACTAAGCTGGATTCCCTTAATGAAAATGAGCATAAGGGCACATTACATTAGCTTTGAATGGTGCGATCAGTGGAAGAAACATGAAGGTTCAAACATAAATAAGCATCTTGAAGGGCTAAAACCTGCTTATTATGACCTCACTTCACTCAGGAAGAAGGAAGGAAACAGGAAGTTCTTCCCAAGGAGTAAAAATATATACCATAGAATATGCAGTAGACAAGCAGTGAAAAGTGCCATCTAAGAAGTGTGTGTGGGTGTGTGTGTGTGTGTGAGAGTGCGTGTACTGTATGTGTGAGGTAAAGCCCAGTGAGGGGTCGTCACACACTGAGCTAAGTAGGTAGCGGTGAAATATTAATGCTGTACATTTTTCACACACACACACACACACACACACACACACACACACACACACACACACACACACACACACACACACACACACACACACACACACACACACACACACACACACACACACACACACACACACACACACACACACACCACACACACACACACACACACACACACACAACACCACACACACACACACACACACACACACACACACACACACACACACACACACACACACACACACACACACACACACACACACACACACACACACACACACACACACACACCACACACACACTCTAACACTTAACCAACTTCAAACTCCCACTTGCAGTTTTATATGCAGTAAATGTCAGCGGCGTATAAGCAGGAATTCAGATTTAAGGGTCCTGCACTCACTTAAATGTCAAAACTCCCACACTGTCTTCAAATCTGACTTTCCAGACTTGTTAGAGAGATATTTATGCTTATAATATATTTGGTCACATGGTCATTTTGCCTTTCTTAACTGTGAATAAATGGATTCAAACTCATGTGTCAAAGTGACATGTACCAGTATTGGAAGCAAATGCCCTTAATGATTCATAGTTGTTGGCAAGAGGTCCTATTATGCTTTCTGGGGTTTGTCTTTCCTGTAGTGTGTTATATAGATTTTAGTGCATGTAAATGGTTTGCAAAGGCTAACATCCCCGTGTTTGGGAGTTTCTCTTCCACATCACTGGGCTCTGGTTTCAGACAGAGGGTGAAAAGAGGTGCACAGGCAGTATGAGAAAAATAAAGAGCTTTTTGGACATTAAAGCATGGAGACATGTAGAGACACTACATACTGATATACACCTGAACATCAGCAGGAGAGGACTCTTTAAAGTAGAGACACTACATACTGATATACAGCTGAACATCAGCAGGAGAGGACTCTTTAAAGTAAAGACACTTCATACTGATATACACCTGAACATCAGCAGGAGAGGACTCTTTAAAGTAGAGACACTACATACTGATATACACCTGAACATCAGCAGGAGAGGACTCTTTAAAGTAAAGAACACTACATACTGATATACACCTGAACATCAGCAGGAGAGGACTCTTTAAAGTAGAGACACTACATACTGATATACACCTGAACATCAGCAGGAGAGGACTCTTTAAAGTAGAGACACTACATACTGATATACACCCTGAACATCAGCAGGAGAGGGACTCTTTAAAGTAGAGACACTACATACGGATATACACCTGAACATCAGCAGGAGAGGACTCTTTAAAGTAGAGACACTACATACTGATATACACCTGACATCAGCAGGAGAGGACTCTTTAAAGTAGGAGAAACTACATACTGATATACACCTGGAACATCAGCAGGAGAGGACTCTTTTAAAGTAGAGGACACTACATACTGATATACACCTGAACATCAGCAGGAGAAGGACTCTTTAAAGTAGGAGACAACTACATACTGATATACACCTGAACATCAGCAGGAGAAGACTCTTTAAAGTGGAGACACTACATACTGATATACACCTGAACATCAGCAGGAGAGGACTCTTTAAAGTAGAGACACTACATACTGATATACACCTGAACACCAGCAGGAGAGGACTCTTTAAAGTAGAGACACTACATACTGATATACACCTAAACATCAGCAGGAGAGGACTCTTTAAAGTAGAGACACTACATACAAATATGAAACAAGCATAATATATCTTCTTTAATTATCTGTAAAAATCACAGCTATCCTAGAGTGTCACATTAAGTACTAGTGTGAAGTATTAATGTACCAAAAACACACAATTCTTTATATTTCTGCACTACTACAAATATAAAACATTTCTAATATGTAATATGCATTCTGTTGTTGTCCGCTTCCACACTTCCTCTCATGTGTAGGTAGTTCGTTAATCTACTTCATCATCTGCTTCACAACAACCCAGTAAAGCAGCTGTGAGTCTTCTTGGTGAATAGGAACAGTGGCAGCTTCAGCATCGCCCAAAAATAGCACATGAGAGCGCTTCTTATCACCTGTGTGAGTCATCCACGGCTCCAAACAGCTGCCACAAAATATGTTTTCATTCACAATTTTCCTGTTCGGCATCTATTTTCTCCCATCATCAGCGTCATAAGCTCATCCAGAATACTCACATTCCCCTCCATCCTGGGGGCAAATGAGCTCAGAGTTGCTCGTAAAGTCACGGATGATGAATGAGTAAATATAAACATTTTCTCCCACGTCAGTAGGCCGCATTTCCGCCTGCTTCTTAGTCACTGTTATAGCTCCAGTTGATGTATTTTACTCTTTAAAAAACATAAATAAACTGCACATTTCCTGCAGGTATCTGAGCTCCTGTCACTTGGTATTCCAGCGTGTGATGTCGTATTCATTTTTATTTCAACCTGTGCAGAGAGATAACACAAAACCTGAGTCCTAGCTTTGAAAATGGTCTCTTGTATTGCTCTGGTTGACATGCTGTGTGGTTATGAGCATCGTCTCATTTCCTGCACTGCAGAGCTGATCAATTCTTTAAAGTAATAGCTTTTAGAAATGTTATGTGGACTCAAAGCCCTTCTGTAGTTTTAATAAGCACACAGGAAATGTGAGATAGCTGGAAGGAAGGTAAATGGAAATAACTTCCTGTTTCTTTATAAAAAACACCACAACCTGAGAGCACTTTGGCTTGACCAAAAATCGTTTAAAAATGTGCTATATAAATAAAACTTGATTTGATTTAGAGTACATCTTAACGTAATATATCTTGAATGTCCGGTCATTAAATCCAAGCTTCCCCTGTCCTCTCTTGGTCTGTCTTGAAACAGTTTCCATTCCGAGAAATAAGTAACATTAGACGGAAATCTTTACTATCAGAGTTCCCGTTTAAAACACAGTTCAACCTCAACCAATTTAAACGTCATTTATTACCACGAGTGTGCTCAATATCCCTCCGTTTATACAATATGAATGTGGTCAGTGGTGGGTTGTTAATCAGATGAAAACATATGCAGAGAAAACAGGACGTCTGTCATCCATAACCACCACTCATCCATTAACAGGCCTGTTTATCATCAACAGACTGAGGTGGTGCGACAGGTTCAGATCGCTTGGCAGGCGACACCTCCAGAGTGAAGAGAGACTGAGAGAGAGACAGCTGGCATGTTGTCATTCCTGAATATCATCCGGTTTAAATGTTTAATGTGCAACAGGAATGGTGGAATCAGGCTTCAAGTAATGTGTTTGTGTACTTACTGTGTGTGTGTACTACTACAGTACATATATTGAGTAAATTGAAGCTATTTGAGACTGAGATAAACTACTTTATACGGTATGTAGGTAATTGGTTACATCTATACCAATACTTGATGTTTTAAGAGCAGATTGCAGGGCTTGATGCATTTGTTCAAAGCTGTAAATGAACCTATGACTTCAACAATCAAACTTATGCAATTCAGTAGCGTAAAAACTATAGTGATCACTTGCGTTTTTCGTCAAGTAACCAATAGCTTGCCAGGTTGGATCAAAATCTGTATCTTCACCAACATCTGTCTAAATATACCACTATAGGAACTCTAACAAATGTAGTTTTTGCACAAGTTATTATTAATCTGCATTAAACCAAGATCAATTTAAACTACTGCCTTGAAGAACAAACGCAACTAACACAAAGTCACATGCATTTACAAATGAATCGTGTCCTTCATTGTGCATGACCATCTCGCCATCTCATGGCACAAATGTGAGTGTGTGTGTGTGGTGTGTGTGTGTATGTGATGTATTGTGGGTAATGTATGTATGTAATGTAAGGTATGATATGGTATGTATGTATGTGTGTGTATGTGTGTATGTGTGTAAATTGTGTGTATGTCATGTATGATGTATGTATGTGTGTATGTGTGCTATGTAATGTATGTATGTATGTCATGTCGGTCTGTATGTGGTTGTGTGTATGTGTGTATGTTGTCATGTGTATGTATGTATGTATGTATGTATGTATGTATGTATGTATGTGCGTGTGCGTGTGCGCGCGTGTGTGTGCGTGTGTGTGTGTGTGTGTGTGTGTACTCACGGCCAGCATGCGGTTCTTCTCCTTCTCGGCGTTGTTCAGAGCGTTCTCCAGGGTGACTCGGTGTTTCTTGGCGACCTCCTCCAGAGCCCTGGCCTGGCTGTCCTTCATCAGGTTGGTCTCCTCTTCGGATCGAGCCTGGATGTCCTTCATGTCCTTCTCGTGGGACGACTTCTCCTCACGCAGGGTCTGAGGAAATGAATATGCATGAACACACACGTTTAGAAATATGCACAGAGGTGAGTGTTTTTGAAACACGATACACACACACACACACACAGAAAGAGCTCGGGCTGACATTCAACCCATATGCTGTATTTTCTTTTAGCCACATTTAAATGTTTATTAAGTGACAGCCAAGACATAAATCTTTAACTCTGTCTGTTTGTCTTCTAACCCTCTCACCCCTTCACATTTGTTTTTCCTGAAGCACCAAAACCCAACAGAACATTTGTAACAGACTCCATGTTGGATTACTGATAAAGGGGTTATTCATTATAGAGACACAGAGCAGCAGATGCTAACCATTATTCTGATGTTGGTGTGTGTCAGCGGTCGTCTGCAGCCTCAGGCAAATGCAAGGACTTTTTGCTAAATCACGGCCTCTTTCAATTACTTCACATTTCAAGATGATACCAGATTAAATAGTTTTCTATTGCACAATAAAGAAGAAGAAGCAGACTCATTGCCAAAAGTATCGTCTGGAAAAACAACGGCATGACTAATACGCGCTAGCTTGGTTGAAAAATAGTCTCAGACAGACTTTTTTAATGTTTTTGCTGACTTATTTTGAAATGAGAACCATTCAAAAAGTTATTTAATATGCATTATGGTGATTTAATGTGAAAAGATTACAGCTAACGCTAAAAAAGTGTCGTATTTCTGTCATCTATATACTGTTAGCCTGCTGCTAGAGAAAAACATACCTCCAAATTCCAATTCCAAAACTTTTGATCAGCTGACGAACATCCCGTTTGAGTTTAAATGCAGTTTTTAATAAATTGCCTAATCTCTATTTTCTATCCACCAGTGCGAAATGCCAATTATTGTAATTTTTCGCCTGGTCTTAAGATTTAGTTTGGAGTGTATATTGATTGTTGTGCCTAGTAAGAGTTGCTAAGCTGTGATAAGACAATCACAAATGTGGGGGGGTTAATTGGGATCATTTGGAGCCTGCTGATTACTGATTTGCTAGTGATTGTTTGAGTAAGAGGAGTAGTAGTAGAATAAGAACGGAGCTGCTTCATAGATTTTTAAACTGCAGGGATAAAAGTGAAATATAGGAATGGATAAGAGCCAAAAGATGGATCTCAGAGGACACAGAGGAGGGAGAAGTCCTGCTGATTTAAGTTGTTTCTGAGCTCCATATATCGTGTAACAGTCAGGCGAGCAGACAGCCAGGAACAAACGGCAAATTGGTTTCGCAAGGTCACAGAAAACAGCGATGTTTCTGAGAAACCCAAAAATGTAATCTGAAACCCATTTACTTTGAGTTTAATCAAGGCAGCAGCTGTTTCTTCATCACATGGGTTTAGCAACATTTTAATTAGCCAAACTGTGCCAATAAGACACATGGGAGCTGACAGTGGGCTCAGTGAAAGACCCTTAAAGCAAGCCAAGACCCTCTCTGTGAGGCTGTTTCCTGATAGAGTGTGTACCAGGATTACGTGACTTCATGTGACTACTAATGAGATCAAATACAAATAAAACCTTTACTTTTGGTTTGCAATGTTTTGAAATACACTGCCGGTGTTCTGCTTTCCATACGTCAATGTTTTCTTCGTGCAAAGATGTAAATAACGGCTTTGAGGTTCAGATTGTTCAGGTTTCTGTTGCATTATTTAACTTTTGTTTTGGCTGAGTAGCTTGACATTTATACAAATACAAGGTATGAAATTTAGGGCTGTCTTTTTTTAACGCCACTAATTATTTGAACGTGCGATGTGTATTTGTCCTCGGCCCGCCCCGTAGTTTCAGAGCCCAAAGGCTTGACGTTGTTGTTGTTGTTGTTGTTAGTTGGATGGTGGGAGATTCTAGCGAGAGATATGGATACAAGAAAAGGTGTTTTAAACAGCAAGCCAAGCACACAGCTGATGCCGACAGCCCCGCTCCTGACGCTCGCTTGCGCTTGAAAGTTTGCCGGGGAGACGCCTGGACAACAACAGCGATAGCTAAATGGGTGGCTACAGCTTAACATTGTGGAGGACGAGGGGCTGCGTTAGATCATTTGGATCGCATCCAACGTGTCGACTGCACATCACAGCGCATTACTTTGACCCTAGGTGGGAACTTCAGTCTCATGCTTTGACTGTTATGAAGACAGAGGAGCGGCATTTCGCCGACAACTGTAAACAGGCTTGTCTGTTTGAGCAACTGGCTCAGTGCAGAGAAGTGCACAGGGTTGGGAGAGAGTGAAGAGAGAGAGAGAGAGAGAGAGAGAGAGAGAGAGAGAGAGAGAGAGAGAGAGAGAGAGAGAGAGAGAGAGAGAGAGATAGAGAGAGAGGTTCCCAGGTTGTTGTGTTGAGAATATTCAGGAGAATATTTGTCATTGTTCCAATGATAATAAACAAACATTTGCATAAAGCATATTTGTCCACTCATATGTTGATAAGAGTATTAAAAACTAAAAATATTCCTCTAAGGTTCATTTAGAACAGATACAAATGTGCGATTAATTTGCGATTAATCGCGATTAAAATATTTTAATCGACTGACAGCCCTAATGAAATGAAAGCACAGCGATAAAGAATAAATGGACCAGATACTAGGACTGTCAAGTTCAATTTTTTTTGTCCTAAGTCCTTTAACATACTGTAAGGTATCTGCCAATACAGAGTTCAATGCAACACTTATATTCACCCAAATGATTATTGACAACATGTGTAGCCCTCTAACGTGGATCCTGGTTCAAGACTACTCACTTGATAAGCTTCAATTAATCATATGATATGAAGGAAAGTGGAAACTGTAAGAACGCTAGAAAACATATTATGTTTGTTATCAAATTACGCGTGGAATTAATATTAATAACAAGTTGATATGGATTTCAGCCGGCATCATCTGTCATTTTAACCTGAGAGTCAGCACTGCCTCAACGATGAGAAGCTGAGTATTGCATCATCCAATGAGAAAAATTGAAAGGGATAGAAAATCTGTTTCCATCAGAGCTTAAGGAATTATGCTAACCTTGGTGTCAGAACAAAGTTAATCAACAGTGCAATACAATAGCTTTCACATGAGAGTCAAATTGTCACACTCATACAGATGGAAAGGCTGCACTGCACAGCTAAAGTTAAAATGGAGGAGAGCAGCACGGCAGTAAAGTCAATAAATGCTTTTTTAGCTGATATTAAACCATTATTATATTTCCTGGGATCAGCTCCAAGATCAATCAAATCAAACCTTATCATTGGCTAAACTCACACATATGCAAATCATAACAACTCTGTCCTTAAACGACACATTTCCATCAACAAACAACTGCTTGCCATAAAGGATAAAAGCGTTTCCTCATTGCCAACAAACGTACCCTGCAAGCTGTCCTACAGATGCACAATGTATACTGTATTTGGCAATTATCAGTCATAAAACTAGTGAGTTATTGCATAAATCCGACATTGGCAACAACATAAAACCCAAACACTCTAATTCCCCACCAGGGGATGATATTTTCTGAGCACTAATTGCTATAAACCAGAGGGTGGTTTTGGAAATCTCCCAAAAAAGGTCCGTCAAGCTGGTCAAACTGAGCACACTGCTGGGCCGTCGTATGGCCAGTCCCCCCCCAGAGGAGAACATTGAACAATAGGGCTGGGAAACATATTGGGAGGTTAATTTTTCCTTTTTCTCAGAGAGACGACAAGGGGAAATAAGCAAAGATCATAAAACACATGAATGAGGAAAAAGAGAGGAGATAAGGGAAGGGAAAAGCCTCCCATTACTGTAATGACTTTTCCACAATGCTGTATAATTAAGTCAGACCACTAACCTTATCTGAAATGGTTTTTATTTGCTAATGTTGCTCATTTTGAAACACAATTAATCCAAAAATGAATCCATTAAAACGACGAAGCTACAAAGCCCTTCACACACTTTTAATATCACCACATTTCCTTTTCAAAATGTAAGGATTTTTAAAGGGGACCTATCATGCAAAATGCACTTTTGTACGTCTTTTATACATGAATATGTGTCCCCGGTGTTCCAGGGAACTCACCAAGTGTCAGAAAACACAACCCTCTCTATTTTCCTCCATACCCAAATCTCTAAAAAGGGGCTGCAACGGATCTGATAAAAACTGATCCAGATTTGAACACTGTCCTGACGTCAGGACAGTGGCGCTACGGCTATTGGGCCAACTCCACCAATCAGGAGGAGACAGCCACGGCCATTGCCGTTCGAAAGCGCTGGAGACGCTGTAGTACATATGCCAGGCCAGTAGATGGTGCTGTTCTCACTGAATCAGCCCTTGCTAAAACAGAGCTAAAAAATTTCAAATTGAGCAAAATGAGGCATGGCTAAAATGCATGATCTGTTTGGTATTTAAAAAAAAAAAAAAGTATAAATATGCCTTATATAGGTATGGTCCGACACTATATTATTAAAATATAGCATGATAGGTCCACTTTAAGTTAAAACATTCACAACACTCTGAGATCTGAGGGATGTTGCTGCTGCCTAAACAGGAAGACATGGTACAGTTTAAGAGGTGTGTTATCCCAGAACATTGAGATTCAGCAGCGTCGCTCAGCAGGAGGACTCTCAGAGGATCACACTGCACAAATGTCAGAGATAAAGGGATGGAAAACACACATGAAGCAGCAACACTTGACATTTACTGCCGGCTGTGCTGGGTCTGCTGACTAAAATCATCTGACCTTTAAGCCTTTTGGATTTTAAAAAGAGGAACGATTTAGTTTTTAAAGTGTATGCGATGGACAAGTTTGACCCTGACAACAGTTCGATGATCGAAGGCTCGTTAAACTTTCAACTTTTCTGAAACAAAATGACAGAGAGAAGTGTTTAAAAGGTGTAAAGATAGACAAGAAGACTGATGAGATTTATACAGCTATCAATCAATGTTTATTTATATAGCCCAATATCACAAATGTTATTGAGGCATGACAGGGGGGGGGCGCGAGAGACCAGGAGGAAAAATGCTTTTGAAAAAAATAAATAAGAAAATCATAATTAGAAAAATTATTGATTCGAAAATAATATGATACAGTACAGTACAAGTACGTCTGGGTCTCTGTGTTTCATTCAAGATCGGCTCTGTGTGGAACGAGCCATTTTGTGGTGCGTGTCGTGCACGAGCCCCGAGAGAGGAGAGAGACGAGAGAGGAGAGAGACGAGAGAGACGAGAGAGACGAGAGAGACGAGAGAGACGAGAGAGACGAGAGAGACGAGAGAGACGAGAGAGAGAGACGAGAGAGAGAGAGAGAGAGACGAGAGAGACGAGAGAGAGAGAGAGAGAGAGAGAGAGAGAGAGAGAGAGAGAGAGAGAGAGCGCACCGGTACCGGAGATCGTTGTTGTTAGCTTTTGGTGCTAGCGAGCTAGTGGCCGGGTCTCAAACGTTTTGGTCACGATGCGCTCAGGCTTTGACATTTTAGGGTGTTTCTCAATCGCGAGTACGCTTGCTTGGTAGCACATGTCTGCCGAGCATCTTGCTTCAGAAGCGAGTCAAGAATACTTCCTGGCATTCGGAAAACGAGGAATGTAACACGCTAGCAAGTGTGCAGGTGTGCGTCATATGAGAGGCCCCGCCTTACATCTTCCGCCACAGATTTTGGAAATTGGTCCGTGCGCAAAGCATTGTGGGGATTTTAAGACCGCGGAGTCTACTCATGTGCAGCCTCGATATTTCTCCAAACGGAGTACGCCGGGCTCGGTATACTGGAGATTGGAACAGTACTTCGGCGGCACTTGATGACGTAGTATGCTTGAAATAGTGGCTCTGAAGCAGCTTTACTCACGATTGAGTAAACACCCTTGGTCTCCTCTGTAAAGTACTTCCTGAAATCAATCAATAGTTCAAGTCAAATTGTTCTTCCACACGTGGTACCAACTCCACCAGGGGGATTACTCTGTACAGACACAGAAATGTCAACGTTGCAACAATTAAATAAAGAACAAAACGAAATACCAAATCGACTCGAGGACATGAATCAGTTTGGGGTAAAACGGATTACTGAGGCGTTAAGGTCAAAATGAGAGACAGCACAAGCTCCCTACATGAAATAACAAATATCCTCATCTTTGCTGATGGCAGAGTGAGCGGGCGCGATGTAACCAACTCTCTGTAGTCGGTTTAAACAGTCATCTAATTAGACATTTAGATATGAGTTGGGGAAACAATCGATAACAGACGGATCAATCCACAAAAAGCCAGACAATGGAAGAAATCTCTGAAGCTAGCAAACACCAGGATGTGCTAACAACGAAATGTCGGGATAGCAAACCATCATCAACTATATCGATGAGCTGAAGCAGGAGCTACCACATCATCTATCCACATCTAAAGACCAACTGAAGACAGAGAGGAAGGAAGAAATCAACAATTCTCGACAAGAAATATATCGTAAGCTCAGAGAATAACAACGAGCTGCAGACAGAGAAGATATTCAGCTTCTGAGACCCTGAAATCATGTTGTTCAAGAACGCATGAAGACCAGTGGTTATACTTTTTGGAACTACTTACATCCTCAAATGTATACTAATATCTAGCTTTGAGTTTTCTCCGTGGTATAATTGACTTGTTTTCTATGCAAGGAGCCAGTGTCCAAAATACGAGCACAGAATATCTCAACAAGTCTGGAGCCAAGTCTACGAAAAGCTTCAGTCACAGCATATTGATGCCATATTGGTTATTCATCACACACACACACACACACACACACACACACACACACACACACACACACACAACACACACACACACACACACACACACACACACACACACACACACACACACACACACACACACACACACACCACACACACACACACACACACACACACACACCCACACACACACACACACACACACACACACACACACACACACACACACCACACACACACACACACACCACACACACACACACACAACACACACACACACACACACACACACACACACACACACACACACACACACACACACACACACACACACACACACACACACACACACACACCCACCTTTCCAGGGACAGCAGCTGTTGCCTCTGCCTGTCGTCCAGCGCCTGGCTCTGGCTCTGCAGCGTCTCCCTCTCCTCATCCATCCTCAGCACCTTGTCCTTCAGGCGGCTGCGCTCGTTGTCCAAGTCTCTGATGGCGGCTTCCTGCGTCATCTGAGTGGCCTGCAGGCTGCTGATCTGACCTGGGGGGGGGCGTGAGCACAATGCAAACAGATGGGTGTCATCTAAGTATTGACATTCTTGGAGGTTTCTTGTCACAAAACCAACTGGAGTCATCATCTTTAACTTCAACTTGGGTCTGAGTTTTCTGCTCTCCTCCATTTAAAGGTCACCTATTATGCAAAATCCACTTCTTCATGTCTCTTCTACATCAACATGTGTCCCCTCTTCTTCATGTCTCTTCTACATCAACATGTGTCCCCTCTTCTTCATGTCTCTTCTACATCAACATGTGTCCCCTCTTCTTCATGTCTCTTCTACATCAACATGTGTCCCCTCTTCTTCATGTCTCTTCTACATCAACATGTGTCCCCCTCTTCTCCATGTCTCTTCTACATCAACATGTGTCCCCTCTTCTTCATGTCTCTTCTACCTCAACATGTGTCCCATCTTCTCATGTCTCTTCTACATCAACATGTGTCCCTCTTCTCCATGTCTCTTCTACATCAACATGTGTCCCCTCTTCTTCATGTCTCTTCTATCATCAACATGTGTCCCCTCTTCTTCATGTCTCTTCTACATCAACATGTGTCCCTCTTCTTCATGTCTCTTCTTCTACATCAACATGTGTCCCCTCTTCTTCATGTCTCTTCTACATCAACATGTGTCCCCTCTTCTTCATGTCTCTTCTACATCAACATGTGTCCCTCTTCTTCATGTCTCTTCTCTACATAACATGTGTCCCCTCTTCTTATGTCTCTTCTACATCAACATGTGTCCCCTCTTCTTCATGTCTCTTCTACCATCAACATGTGTCCCCTCTTCTTCATGTCTCTTCTACCATCAACACATGTGTCCCCTCTTCTTCATGTCTCTTCTCCATCAACATGTGTCCCCTCTTCTTCATGTCTCTTCTACATCAACATGTGTCCCCTCTTCTTCATGTCTCTTCTACACTCACATGTGTCCCCTCTTCTTCATGTCTCTTCTACATCAACATGTGTCCCCTCTTCTTCATGTCTCTTCTACATCAACATGTGTCCCCTGTGGAAAGAGACTCTGAAAAGTTTCAGGAACAAAGATTCCTCTCTCTTTTTGTCCTGATCCATTTCTATAAAACCTGTCTGAAATGAGCTGATCAGATTTTTGGCCACTTTATGATGTCATAACGATGTTTGGCTTGTGTAACCATTAGCCAATCAGCAACCAAGGTACCCCCCCCCCCCCCCCCCACCTTATCACCTGAATCTCCTCCCTAGAGCACCATTGAGTTCTTTGTAACCAAATCTCTCTCAGAGGGGCGTGGGGAGGGGCTCCTTATTTTCATCTAAAGTAACAGACAGAGAATCAGCACTTTGGAAACAGGGCAGAAACAGAGGGGATTATGGGATGCTGCAATGATCTGTTTGGTGTTTCAGCCAATCAGAGACAGGTTCTGTATATATCTGAGACCTATAATATATTGATGAAAAACAGTACAATAGGGGACCTTTAAACTGTATAGTGCAGCATGTGTGATAATTAGACTCTTATTCTGAAATCTATTGTATTGCACTGTTGATTAACTTTGTTCTGACACCCAGGTTAGATGGAAACAGATATGCCATCTCTTTAAAAGAAATGGTTATGATGCAACACTCAGTTAGCAGCTTCTCAGCGTTGAGCCACTGCTGACTGAAATGCACTGCTCAGCATTTCTTACTTTGACTTGGGTCTGGGTTTTCAATTAGTTTTGTCATTAGAGCAAAATTGCTTGATTAGCATGTTGTTGACCTTATGCATCAAACCTGACATCTTGGTCAGCCAATTCATTTTTTGAGAAGGAGGTACTTTTTGACGATGTCATTTAAAATCAACTTGGAAGGTCGAGCAGAACTTTTTAGAAGTCAATCTTTTCAGGGCATTGACATACATGCTGGGTTGAGGCGTTGTTATTTATGTAAACTTAGATAAAAACAATCTATAAAGCTGCACACATCTCACCCATGCAACAACTCTTTATGAATGTAGATGGATATCTATGCAGCAAGATGAGGTTGAGATTATGAATCCCCCCCAAACAAAGCTCTGATTGATTGAGTGTGTCTAGAACTGGAGGACAATGTCATAAATGGGTAAGACGACATATTTGAATAACTGAACAAATCTGAGATGCATGGCTTAAATGTTATCGGTTTTAAAGGATGATTAGCAGATTATATGAGACTTAAAACAAAAAAGTCTACCACTTCAATCTCAGCCTATATCCAAGGGCCACTGTGGCTTTTAAGAAGTGCAGTCAACCAATCTGGTTAAACCAGTGGTTCCCAACCTGGGGGGGGCGCAGCGCTATTGCAAGGGGGGCGCGTGAAGCTTGGGAAGAAGTTGTAAACAAACATTGTTTGCTTGTAAAATCAATATAATTGATACATTTTTAACACAACCGGCAGTTAAAAGAAAAGTGGCCTTTCAGCTATAATGCCCAAATCAACAAAGTATGATGAGGCATACATCTCCCTTGACATCTAAAGTGTTCGGTGCGGAGATCTCTCTCTCTGTGTGCGGGGGGCGGGGCCTCACAGACTCGCTGCAGCACCCGTGCACACAGAGATCTGCCGGAGGACAACAGAGCGTTCAAAAGTGACCATCTACAAGGCTCAATGTGCTCAATGTGTACAATGCTCGTTTGCCATAAGTATTTTCGCCTAAACGCGGAAACACGAGCAATCTGTCCATCAGCTGGCCAAAAGGCATCATATTCATACGGAGAAATGCACCGTTTTCGACTTCCTTAACTCAGAGTTCTGTTGCCCAAATTACGTGTAAGGTGGGAGAAGTACTCGGATCAAGTACTTAAGTAAAAGTAGTATACTGCAGGGTAGCTTGTGAATTTACTCCAGGTGTAATTAAAGTCTGATTTAAGAGTTGATTATATTTCACATCATTCATCCAGATCTGTAAAGTAACTCAATACATGTAGTGGAGTAAAAGTACACCATTTAGCTCTGGACTGACTGTAGTGGAGCAAAATTATTGGAAATACTTAAGTACCTCAAAATAAGTACAGTACTTGAGTAAATCTACTTACTACCACCACTGCAGGTATGTTATGTGTGCTAGCAGCCCATAATCCACACTATACATAAAATAAATCAATGTGAATTCTGTTTCTAATTTGTTTAGTTTTTCCCTTAAAAAATAACCTATAAAAATACTGTTAAAGAACCGGATCGATAAGCAGGATTTGTAATTGTTTCAATTAGGCCTCATTATTTCACGGTGGCACAGGATCATCTGCCAATACAAGCACTTTTGTTCATGTTCATACATTATACAATTATAGTTAGATATTTTTGTCTTGTTATTATTAGCAGAGAAAATGTAATGTTTGTACAACTATATACAATTAATTATATCAATCTCGGTGGGAACCGGGTTAGGGGGGGGCTCGAAAATATTTCCAATTACCCAAGGGGGGCCTGAATGAAAAAGGTTGGGAACCACTGGGTTAAACTATGATGTACTTGCTGCTGTTTAGCAAACAAACAGTTATATCAGACGCTGATGTAGCCA